TTGACTGTGGCGTCTGCTGCCCTCAGGGAGCTGCTGCAGAGAGACGAGGCCGTGCTGCGACACCTGCTGCAGCAGGAGCTGAAGAAGAACGAGTCGCTGAAGGCCGCCGAGGCCAAAGTCGCCAAACTGAGGGAGCAGCTGCAGGCGTCGGAGAGGATCGTCAGCGCCAACAAGACGCTCCTCAGGAAGCTGCGCGAGCAGGTACGCCGACTTTACCGCCCCGTTGGGTGTTTCTCTTAAATCTGCACGACCCCAGTGTGGGTGTGGTTTGACCGCCTCCACGTCCTCTGCAGGTCCACCGGGTGGAGCAGCGGGTCTCCGTGAAGAAGACGGTGGCGGTGCGGTTGGAGCAGGAACTGTTGCAGGCTCACCTGGCCGCCGGCAGGGCGCCCAAACGGCGAGCGGACTCCAGCCGGCCCGCGGTGAGTCTTCCTGTTTCTCTGTGGAGCCTGCAGGTTGTTCTGTTTGTCTCCTCCTCAGCAGAGAGGCTTTTATTCTGAAAATCAGCTGCATGAAGAATGGCTGTTGAAACTTACAGGTGAGGCCGTTAGCTGTGATTAGCTGGCTGTTAGCTAATAAAGCTAATTACCCATCCAGTTAGCTAATGAGCAGCTGAGGCAACGATCAGGGCGGGGCCCACAGTGGGGAGGTGCCGGCTAAACGACCTCGGGCTGTCACAGAGGGTGTTTGTGCTCACGCAGCTCCTCACGGCGCCGGTAACCATGGATTCAGAGGCGCTGGTGGTTACATGCACCCGCCGATAAAACTATAAGAAAGCTGTGATGGAGCACGGCTGTGTGCAGGTGTGTTTAACCTGTGTAACGTTTTCCTCTCCAGCTCAGCAAGTTGCCGCGGCGTGACGCAGCGCCCCGTGGTTCTGAGCGCCACTTCGCCGAGCTCATCGCTCAGAAGCAGCGACTGCAGCAGCTCGAGTCCGAGTACGCGCTGAAGATCCAGAAGCTGAAGGAGGCGCAGGTGCTGCGAAACAAAGGCGTCCTGCCGGAGCTCCCCGTAGAGCCGCCGCTGCGATCCGCCACGCCCCCGGACCCTCAGGTCCAGCTGCCGCCGCCGCAGCCCTCGCTGCACGACCTCTCCCAGGACAAGCTGACGCTGGACAGCGAGGACCCCGCGGAGGCCGAGGATCACGAACCGGAACCTGCGCCCGCCGCTGCGGCCAGAGGCGGCCGTCGCTCCTCCTTCCGTCAGTCCAGCTGCTCCTTCACCAAACCCCACCTGGACGCCACGAGCTCGCCCAAAGACGTCGGCACCGCCGCCAAGCCCGTGAAGGCGCTGCCCAGCGGCTCGGCGGGCGTGGAGCTTCCCGCCGAGATGTTCGCGGGGCTGGACGTGGACGCCCTGCAGCGGCTGTACAAACAGAAGACGCCTCTGGGAGATCTGCTGCTGATGGAGCTGCAGGTGCTGGGGGAGGACGTGGACCCCGCCCCCGCCGCACAGGTGAGCGCAGACTGTCAGAGGGGGAAGGTCTCGGGCGATTTCATGCTAACGCTCTGTGTTTCCGGGTATCCAGGTGTTTCCGGCTGAGGTGGAGACGGCGGTGAGTTCGTCGGGCAGCTCGGAGCTGCGGCCGCTCCCCTTCGGACCGTACCACAGCCCGCTGCTGGTCTTCAGGTCCTACAGGTAACGCCGTCGCACCGACAGCAGCGCCGTCGCACCGACAGCAGCTCGTATGTGGTCTGTGCGCTCGGCTCACGGCTGTGTCCTCCCGCTCAGGTTCAGCCCGTACTACAGGACCAAGGAGAAGCTGTCTCTGAGCTCGGTGACGTACAGCAACGCCATCGAAGCGAAGAAGTGCTTCTGCCGCTTCGACCTCACGGGAACGTGCAACGACGACGGCTGCAGATGGTGAGCGGGCGTAAAAAACAAACTATTTGAATAACGTGAATTCATCAAATCCTGAATTGATTTTTGCGTTTAAATCTCCGGTTAAAGCTCAGAAATATTTCAGCAAACAGATAAAGCAGTGAGAGCAGCGACAAGGATGTAAACACAAAGATGTAAACACAGAGCGTGGATCTTTCACCCGACGGCACGTCCACAGACACGCCGTCCACAGACGCGCCGTCGGGCTGAAGGCTCACAGATCCTGAAGCTGCAGGTTGCATCACTCTAACCCAGGGCTCCCCAATCTCAGTCCACGAGGGCCGGTGTCCTGCAGGTTTTAATATCACCCTGGGTCAGCACTCCTGAATCACATGATTAGCTCATTACCAGACCGTTACCAAGACATGTTGAGGAGCTAATTTATCCATTTAAACCAGCTGTGATGGATCAAGGACACGTCTAAAACCTGCAGGGACACCGGCCCTCGAGGCCTGGGACTGGGGAGCCTGCTCTAACCCAAGTTCACTGAACCAGCAGCAAAAGCAGATCAAACTGAGCTTCACGTTTCATAAACTTCGTCATGACTTTGACGTCAAAGCCTCGTCTCTGCTGTTCAAACTGAAGAAATTAAACTTAGATGATCAGCTTCTGTAATCAAACCTCTGACTTCAGCATCAGGTAACGTTCACGTGTTGATTTGTGGTTTTCTTCAGTTCATCGACTGCAGAGTTTAAGGTTATAAAAAGCTTCATGTTTGTATCCTCAGTTGACACAAAGGCTGTGATTCTCACACCTGATGAAGGCTCACAGTGTCAGCTTTGCACTCACAGACAAACTGGAAAAAGTTGCATTTCCTGCAAAAATGCGTGTGAATGCTGTGTAGTGGAATCTGCTAAAGAAGCTGAAGTACACATTAGAAAAGCTGAATTGTAATGAATTAGCAGAAATGCAAGCAAGACGATTCGCTTAACTGTCTAAACATGTTTCCATGGGCGAGGGTCGAACCCTGCCTCCCGCTCTGAGAGCCGCCGCTCATCTCACTCAGCTTGTTTAGAGCTCGGCGATAAGATTTTTTCATATCACGATATGTTCTTTCATTCCAGGCGATAACGATATATATCACGATATTTATCACGATATAAGCCAAATAACTATATTTGTAAGATTTAAATGTGCC